TTATACGAAGTTATACGATGTGATAGCATAAATGGTAGTTCAACAGGGCTTGAATTGGAGCGGCTGACTCAAATGGGCATCATTGGTGGAGAAAGCCGCGCAGGCAGCGCTCCAATCCAATCCACTTGCTGATCTCGTAGTCGAAATCCGATGCTATAGTCGACAGGTTGTGCAAAATGAGCGCCGACTGCTCCGGAGGGAACGGCAAATTACGATTGTCTTGACCGTCTTCTGGAGAGAGGTGGCGTCAGCACTCCAGAAGAGTGGACCGCGCGACTTAGTGGGACAAATATTGAATAATAGGAACAAGATGATAATGATTACTTTGTTTTCAGATGGCGAATTCAATGTGTTCGAGTATCAGTCGACTAGCGGAGACGTGAAGGTAAGTAGTTGACGTTTTTCTGCTCAATAATTTTAATGTTTTATTGCACATTACTTAGTCTCTTTTTCTGTTCGTTTCTTATCCATGGTGTTGTTCAGATGGAAGGCGATGCTATGCGGAAATACTCACAACGAAATGTGAAAATTCCGATTCATGAGCGACCGTACAAGTGTCCACGAGATGATTGTGATCGACGCTTTTCACGAAGCGATGAGTTGACGAGGCATATTCGAATACACACAGGGCAAAAACCATTCCAGGTAGTCACAGTATGCTTCTCGTCTCGTTTTTGCTTCGATTTAAAGACAATCGCCGCGATCAAGTGTAATAGGTTGCAGGTGCTCAGTCAGTACTCATCAGTAGGGAAAGAAGTGAAAAAAAGTTTCACCCTGAGCACAGACCCCCGCCCAGCCCCTTGGACGAGTTCATCATGAGGACGAGCCCAATCAGCAGGATTCTAGGTGCAACCAATTCCCGGCAAGAGCATAGGAAATCGCCCTACGACGCTCCAGGCAACGCTATGTACACATGCGATTCCGCTTGTAAGCTGTTGTCTCGCAGGGTTAGACCGGTTGCATCGGTTGCAAAACTCACGCGTTTCTAACTTCAGTGGTATATTCTGTGCGAGTACGGACCATCATGCCAAATGCACAGAGGCATTTAGCTGATCACTTGATGGCGGGAAGTGTCTTCAAAGGCAAGCGGCACGGTAAATCTGCAAGGCGTTAAGGATAGCAGGACAAAGTTTGGTGCCTCTGATAAGGTGCTGTAAGGTGCCTTTTCTAACGACCGGTAACGCCTTATAACGCCCGATCAACCTACACACATGCCGCCCGGGCCCGGCCTGCGCAATCGCTCGCCCCATGGATGTTCCCGCTGCAGTCCCATCGACGCTGGTGCTTTTATCGCTAATGAAGTAAGTGAAGCTTCGTCCGAAAGTAGTCGTCCAATGTCGTGCAAAACGAATATCGTGCAAAACAAATGTTTTTTTCTTTTAGCAAGGGTTTTTTGACCAGATAACTCGGCTTCTCATTTCCTTTTCATTTCCCTTCAATGCACCTTACTAACTTTTTCTGAGCAAGTACCAAATTATCGTGCCTTTTGCCTTCAACATTGCTTCATGAAATTTTGCCGTTACAGACCTTCGAGTCCCTTAAGCTAGCCCGAGGTGGAAAGGGGTCACTTTTCAACGCACGATTTACAGCTGTGTCGCAAAGTACCCGTGGGCTCTGGCTATCATCCAAGAAGCGCGCGTGTTTGCGCGGCGCGCAGGTTTCGCTTGAATTGTGGTAGAGGGTGTCAATGTTTTAGCAATTCTACTGCCAAGTTTTCTCAGTTGACGACACGTGGCTGAGGTGATAGTTCTAGACCTCCGCTGCGTCATTTAGCGGACGTGACTCATGCTGAGACGCCAACTGTGCATCTCTGGAATTCAGAAGTAGAAAAAACAAGTCAAGCATTGGCCAGGAATTGTTTGACGTAGATTGCTTTTCGTTACAACGGAAGTTGTTCTAGAGGATTTGGTCAGCATCCTGCTTGACGTAAGTGTTCAGCTGTGACGAACTTTCTGATGAATGACAAAATATGAACAATTGTCTTTGACTGCTTTCGTAGCTCAGGAAGTAACCTTCAGTTAGGTCTCGTTCGTCAGGTGACTGAGATAACCTCACCAGGTTGCGTTTCTTCGACTTATAACATTCGAGAGCTATCGTGACTTACTGTGGGGCAGCGAAGTGGGAGTAATCGAGATTATGGACCGGACCACCTTCACGGGAGGAGACAGACATCGGATGCGGAATGCATCTTCACAAGCAAGCTTTCTTGGCTATAATCGTACGTTGAAGTTCCGCAGAAAAGTACGCGCACCTGAGCTTTTTGAGATTTTTTTCCTGCGGTTTTGACCTAGCACTTGGCCGTATGATATGGCATCTGTGAAGGCTTTGAAGCACCCATTTTACTCGGAAAATTCAGTGTCGGATCTGTTTGCGGGCGTTTTCGCGATCGGATCATTTGACTACGCACGTCCGTACACATACTGGAGAGAAGCCGTTCTCGTGCGACGTGTGTGGCCGAAAGTTTGCACGAAGTGATGAGCGCAAACGCCACACTAAGGTAAGTCATAGTGAACTTTTTTGAAATAAGGCTTCACGAATCCATTCTTATTCAGGTGCACGCAAAGTCAAAATCGCGTAGGCCGAGTTTTTCTTCCGGATTCTGTGGTCCAGCATCTGGGGATTCCAGTCAAAGCTCGGTGTAGAGCAAAAAAACGTGAATAATATGAAAACGAAAGTGGAGTCAGAAGAAAGTGAAGAGGATTGAGATGAAAGGAATGGTATCGTGTGACCTATCGGGTTGGTTGACTGATTGCTAATATCTGGCATTACATTCGCAGTAGCGAAAATTTTCGTAGCAGGAATTTTTTTTTCATAAGAGCAGGTATGAATTTGATAACAAATGTTTATCTTTGTCCATCTACGTTCGCTTACCATAACTCAGAAGCGTTTTCAACTCAACTTAATGCTCCAACGAGTTCCTTTTTTGTTTGAACTTGTGTAGAAGTTCAGATTCTAACATACTTTACTACTATATCAATATTGGTCCTATTAACATATCTCTTGGTTTTATGCAGAAAAATAGGGTAAAACACCCTAAATACGCGTTCGTCTTCTCAGTGTTGTTGTGTTTCTCAGTTCACATTATTCTAATTTTATTAATATTACTGCGTATTTCTATACTTTGTAAAGTATTGTCGGTTTTAAAGTTAATGCTTTACATGAAAAGCCTTAGAAAGATTTCTATGTCTTGATCTTAATCTTCTTAATTTTGTTCATCATCATTTGCTTATCTGTAGATCCTCTTCCATTCTTGCAAAGTCGACACTAGTTGGATTGGCAGCTCGCGTATTTTGTGCAGCTTATCAATACTATAGCTTTCTATACCTACGTAGCTTACCAGACTTAAAGTCGCATTTCACGACTGCAAGGCGTAGGTATTGGGGGTACAGTAACGAGTCTAGGTGCTAGTTGATGATGAAGAAGGCCACAGAAAAGTGACACCAGTTAGTCTTGTTGCAGCAGGTCTTGACCACGGTCGAGACCAACCAGAGGACGTGAAGACGATGAGACCCTGAAGTAGGCACGGGAGACTGAGGCGAGAGCGCACCATGTCATCAGAGAAAGGCTCCCTGAAAAATCTCATCGGCGCAGTGATAAAGTGGTTTAAAGGAATTAAAAGCTAGAACTATAACACGGCAGGCAGTGATGAACTTTCTGGCACTTTGCTGACGAATGGTAAACAACGATAAGACAACGGGGAAGGAAAGAATGACAAAGTGTGACTGAATGACAGCCTAGGATAAGGAAGGCAGCTGAAAAACATATTCAAGAACAGGCGAAATATTTCTCAAGAGCGTGCTGCTTGCACTACTTGTCGTTGCCCGCCTCTGGAACCTGTAGTTCGCATCGTGTCGATGCACCGCCTTAGCGCTATTGAGCATAAACTGCTCTGTCGTCCGAATTTGTTGCCGAGGAACCGTTAAACATTTCCCTGGTCCTACTATTAAACTCTGTAACGCAAACAGTGGATTATGGTTGCTGTATCATCGAACGGTACGAGAGAACACAGGGCGAACCGCGAGATGGGCTTCTCAAAGGGGGGGGGGGGGGGTTTGCAGGACGACTCATACTCGAAAAGTTGAAGGTCACTGTGAAGGATAAACTTGTCTAGGCGAGAGAGTGCATACAATAGCAAAAAGGAGATGCTGTTCAAAAGGACGGTCTGTAGACCAGCCGGCGGTCGTTCCACTAGTCTCCGGGAAGGATCGCTATCACTTCTCTCGCTTATAATGCTGGAGTGGTGAACCTCCGATCTCGCATGTCGGCTGGAGCTGGAGTGACCAGCTTTGTACACAGGGAATTCCGCGACGTCCTGCGAGTCTTCTACACGAAAGTAAATGACCTACTGCCGTTTGAGCAGAAGGTGCTGTATCGTACAGGTTTGTTGCAGAGCAACCGTATCCATGCAAGGCGCGACCAGCATCCCTCGTCTCCATGACGTGTCGGAGTGAAGAGCATCTCCGACCTCGCATCTCATGCTGAAGTGAAGAGAATCTCCGGCCGGCATGCCGTATTGGAGTGAGGAGAATTAGTTTCCAGCGCGGTGGTGACTCTTGGCCCGTCTGTCGCCGGCATGCCGTGCTGGAGTGAGGAGGATATCTGGTCGGCATGCCGTTCTGGAGTGAGGGAGATCTTCGGCCGGTACGCCGTGCTGGAGTAAAGAGGATCTCCGGCCGGCATGCTTCTGGAGTGAAAAGGATCTCCGGCCGGTTCTGGAGTGAGGAGGATCTCCGGCCGGTACGCCGTGCTGGAGTAAAGAGGTTCTCCGGTCGGCATGCCGTGCTGGAGTGAAAAGGATATCTGGCCGGCATGCCGTACTGGAGTGAAGAGGATCTCCGGCCGGTACGCCGTGCTGGAGTGAAAAGAATATCGGCCGGGTGAAAAGGACCTTCGGCCGGTACGCCGTGCTGGAGTAAAGAGATTCTCCAGTCGGCATGCCTGCTAGAGTGAAAAGGATCTCCGGTTGGCATGCCGTGCTGGAGTGAAAAGGATATCTGGCCGGGTGAAAAGGACCTTCGGCCATTAGGTCGTGCCGAAGTGGAATAGGATATCCGGTCTCGTATGTCGTGCTGGATTGAATAGAATCTTCGGCTTCGTCTACGAAGAGACGCGAGGCGTCTTACGAGCAATCACAGACCTTAAGATTGCTCGTAAGTCTGTGGTACTTGCACTGGCACCATGCGAGACAGGGCGCCGCCCAGTACCCGTCCATGAGTGCGTTGCTGTCTATTGCCAAGAGCATGGTTCAGTGGTAGCGCGTCGACGCGCGTCATCGCGAAGTCTGAGCGATTTGTAGCGTCATAATATCTGAACGCTTTTTTAGCGTCAACTAGAGCACCGCAGGGTTGAGATGATCGTTGCGGTCAACTTTGCATACACGGTCTTCGGTCATCTCATTGAAGATCATGTTCTTGGCGTGTCTCTGCAGAACGTGTTCTTGGCGTGTCTGCAGAACGTGCTGTATCGTACAGGTTTGTTGTAAAAGAACCACGAGGCATGGCGCCACCGGCATGCCTCGTCTCGCATTTCGTCCTGGAGCGAGGATGACTATGGTATTGTCTACGGAGAAACGCGAGGCGTCTCGCGAGTATGACCCGGACGTGAGTTCGTGCCGCCCTACGCTCGCCGCCTTTGGCAGTCTCAAATTTCACAAATTGTATATGGTATTACCGGTCATTGCTTCGTAAAAAAGGTGGAAGTGCTGGTGACCGTGGAGCAGCCTTATTTGCTATAGGGCGCGCTGTTGCATTGTTATAAGGCGTCAGGAATGCCAGCTCATGGAAGTAAAGTTAGTGTAGGATAACAAACCTCCGAAGATACTCGCATAACCCTTTCTTTATATGGTGACCACAGCCTCATGGTTGTACACAGCTGCCAATCCAACGACTTCACTCGGCTTTGTAGTTCTTTATGTTTAGTTTCTCTATAAGGCCTTTGTTTCTCAATACTTAGTTACCGGTGATTTAGTGAAACCAGTGATACCAGTCTAAAGAGAGAACTAATGCCAATCATTAATAAAATTCTAGTCTGTTTTCTTTCTCATGCTTTGTTTATATACCGACTTATAATTGTATGTTAATGTAGGCATCAACTGCCATCAATCTAGAAAGAATTCTACGCAGTACATTCAAATCATTTTGAATAAATGTTCTTCGTAGCTGACCTGCGTTTTGTGATTTCGAAAATGGCGACATGCCCTTTGTACAAACAGGTACAGGGCAACAAAATCAGGTTTGAATATGAATGTATTAGCCGAAGCTGAACTAAAAGTGAATTGAATACTAGCACTGCTGCGGCTCTTCATGGATAAGCGTTGTCGACCGAGCCGGATTATTTACCAATTCTCACGAGATTCGTGAAAGATTTGGATGTTGAAACCTTTTCCTCAACGCGCTCCACTTCTAAATGTAGACTATTCAAATTTATCGGTAACCTCTGTAGTTTGTTTATAACAATAACCAGTAGAATCTTCACTTAAAGACAATTCCTGCGACCAAGTGTTACGTGTAGCAGGTGTTTAATAATGAACCAGTAGCCCATAAATAATCCATCAGTAGAGAAAGAAACGAACAAAAAAATTTGGGAACACTCATCAGAACTGGACTTCCTCAGCAGTGAGCACCTTGGACGAGTTTGTCGAACTCGGCAAGCCCAATCAGCGGGATTCGACGTGCAACCGATTCCTGGCAAAAGCACAGGGAATCACCCGACGCGCTCTACCGCAACGCTTGGTGCACACCGCAATTCCGTTTGTAAGCCCGTTGCTCTTGTAAAGCGAAAGCTTGTAAAAACGTGTTGCAATAATCACGCGTCTCTAGCTTCTTTATCTCATCGTTTCGGGTGACGAAAGCGGTATATTCTCTGCGAATGCGGACAACGATGCCAAATGCTTGGAGGCATTTCGCTGAACACTTGATCGCGGGAAGTATCTTTAAGTGAAAGCCATAGAGCTATCTTGATACCGGCTATGCGAGATAGCATCGCCTAACTTAGACCGTGCTGGAGTTTCCTGTGCTTGTGGGACTCGACGAAAATCATACCATTCGTTCAGACCTTTCAGCCGACCATCGCGTGGGCGGCCGTACAGGTGTTCGTTTAACATCCCGGTCATCTTTGAAGCGCATGACCTACCCGGCCAAAGGGCGATCTTCAAAAACACATCTTGAAAATAAGGAGGGGCAAAGGCGGGCTCTCCATGATTTCTAAAAAATGTATAAATTATTGTTAAAAAAAAACAAAAAAAAACGGGAAGGAATGAAGAAAAAACCATTATGGCGGGTCATATCAATTAAGAAACAAAAAAACAAATATTGGGGAAGGAAATACAACTCACATTCACATGTATGATCCGTTTCGCCCGTTATCGTAGACGAATCATCGATGTCTTACCAACCCCCGGGCTCCTCAGTACGATAGAGTTGAGACATGGACATGGACTACATAGGGGAAGGAGTTAAGAAAAGGATAAGCGAGAAAAAATGCAAAAAAGTTGACATGCAAAATCCATGCAATAAAGATGAGAAGGAACTGTGCAAGGAAAATGAAAGAAGGATATAACCGGTGTGAGTACAAGATTGGTGTAAGAGGAAGAAAAATGGATTGTTGTAGATGGGCTAAACAAACTAAGGTAATAATGAGTAAA